CCTACGGAGGAAACCCATTTCGGCCGCTTGTATCCACAATCTCGTTCTTTCGGTAATGACCCAGAGTTCATGACCATAGATGAGGGTAGGAACGTAGATCGACCAGTAAATCGAGAGCTTCGCTTTTTGACTCAGCTCTCTCTTCACCACGACGGACCAGTACAGCGCCTGCTTCACGGCAGACGCTGCACCAATCCGCCTGTCGACCTCCCTCTCCCTTTTTCCCTCATTCGTGAACAAGATCCCAAGATACTTAAACTCCTCGACTTGGGGCAGGACACCCCCCCCCCACTTTTATACTCAGTAATTTGTGCAACTATGTGGGAAAGAAGAAGAAACTCACCCCAGCCGGCAGGATGCTTTCTGCCAGAACAAACTCTGTGGGGGGGGAAGAGTCAAAGTGAGGACAGAAAAGTGAAACCAAGTCCCAGTAATTCCAAAATAAAAAATCTGACAATCACCTTGGCTGTTCAATTTTAGTCGATTCAGGACAGGCACAATCTGTTCGCCGGCGGTGATTGACGTATCAGCTGGACACGTAGGAACAGTTGACTTCATCTTGCTCTTAGCAAGGCTGGTTTTAATGGCTACACTATTTTTAGCCTCTTTTGGTGATAAGGTTGGAACGCTCGCCTGTGGGGGCGTCGTCTGAGTCTTTGCAGTGGCAAAAGTATCTAAAGAGGACAAAGAAACGTCAGACAACGACGTCAAAGACTTGCTGACAAACCAGTTAAAAAGGAAATAATTAAATTGTGTTTACCAACCGTACCGATTTGCGTTGCTTTTGTCTCCTCCCTTTGGACTGTTGCCATGGTCACAGCAGGTGTTTCAGCAGAGCTTCCTCCTGTCTGTAATGAAATCAGATTCTGTGCGGTGGAGTCTGGCTTTGACACAGCCGTCGTTTGGACCAAAGCTTTGGCAGACGTCTCTGGGCTTTTGGTGATCTTCTCTTGTCTTAGAGGTGGAGCAGGTGATGGTTTAACCGCTATGGTCTCAACTTTATCAATTGGCGGTTGGGCGTCTTTAAGTTTAGGTGGTGAAGCCTCATCGGTGGATAACTTCAGTTCCTTTTTCACAACAGGATCTACTTCCATTGACCCTGCTCCTCCAGTTTTTTCCAGCTCTAACAACTCTGCCTCTTTTAAATTTTTCATCTCAGAAACTTTGCCAACATGGCCCTGCTTGGTTATCTCCCTTATTCTTGCAAGGACTACTACAGGGTTTTTAGGCTCAGCTGCCAATTCTTTAATGTTTGATTTTGAGATTTCAGCCTTGAGAGTTTGCGGATCTGATGTATTTACAGACTTTGCTGCAACGTCTTCTATTTTCTCCATTCTGGGTGGATCTTCTTCAATGGGGTCAATTTGCAGAATGTTTGTAACGGATTGTTTTTTTGCCTTGCTCGCAGAAGATTCGTTATTTTCTTCCAGCCTATGTTTTGTTGCAGTTTCTGCTTTAGTAACGCTTTCCTTGCCTGGATGTTTTTCACCAGCTGCCCCGTTTGATGGCTTGCCAGTTTTCTTCTGTACATTCCCAGAATCCTCCCCATTAGCTTTGAGCTTTCCGTTTGATTTTTGTCCAGAGTTTTTTTTAGATTTAGGTATCTTTTCTGGCTTTAAAGCATCTTTTTTTCCTTTAACTGACCTCAAAGACTGTGTTTTAGCCAAAATGACCGCTTTTAAAGTTTGGACTCCCTGCTTCTTGGAAACACTCCTTTCTTTGGAAACTAGGACCTTTGTCTTTTTCAAAAGCTTCACTGCTGCGACCCTTTTGGATTTTGATTGTAATGATAAAAGAGTTTTACTTGGTAGGTGAACCAAGTTTCCACCGGAAACAGGCTGACAGGACACAATAGGCTTTCTGTGAAGGAAAGTAAAAGACAAATGGTCTGAAATGGTCCTAAAAGTGACACCATCTCATATATTTCCCTGTGAATTAAAGCTACAAGTTTACAGTTCACTCTGAGTCATCCAGTTTTAAACCAGAAGCAAAAGTAAAGAGGAATGAAACTCGTTCAGAAACTACAAAGAGCTGTAAAATGCTAACAATACAAGAACATAATAAAGTCCCGATTATTGATTTGTCAGCTGTTTTATCCATCAGGATATAAAAACCTTGATTCACGTCTGCTCGAGCACAAAGCCATCGCACTTTCAAATCTCCAGGACCTTTTTTCTGAATCCTATGTTCCAAACCCCAGTTAAAACAACAAGGTGGTAAATTACTGCATCAGTGAGCATTAAAGTGGAGTCTGTATGAACCAGAACTTACTCTGGGGAGGGATTCTTCTGATCCGCTGAAGCCGTAGAGGGAGGAGACCCGGAAACACTGTCCTATAAGTTGAGTGATGGTGAACTGATCAGATTATGGATAAAAAAAAAAACAAACAAAAAAAAACAAACAACAAATAGATATATTTCCAAAAAACACCCCAACCCGCCCCCCCAAATAAATAAAATCAAGACATACCTGTTTAGTGACAAAGGTGATGGGTACTCCTTTTATCTCAAAGTTTTCTGTGCTTTTAAGTTTGGCTGCATCTTCCTCCTTTTCAAAACAAACAGTCGCCTATGTGTCCGAAAACAAATCCACAGTAAGGATCAATTTACTCGTGTCAATGCGGTTTAAACAAGGAAGAGTTTACATGCAGCAAAACTGCTTAAATATTTATACATTTTTGTTGCTTTACAATACATCTTGTTTTTGTGTTAATCCAAAGCAAAATGCATCAATATAAATCTATTAATGATGGTTTATCTAAAGGCGAAAGCTGGTATAAATGAAAATGGTTTGTTAGTTTACTTAATATATAAAAGTAATCAATTTTGAATTAAACTTTAACCAAGCCTAGCCCAAATTCATATCTGAGTTTTTTGTTTCTTTTTGAACACTTTATTATTGCAATTTGTATACAGAACAACTAACATTGAATTTTCCTTTTTTGACAACAACAATGGAAGGAAATTAATCCCCCCCAAAACATAATGAATAAATTAAATAGAAAAACTTGTCTACAAAATATCAGGTTGACATTATATAATATGAACCTTATTGAAAAACCCAATTATTTTCAATTATTGAAGAATTATCTGCTGTTGGTCACAGCCTTAATTATTTAACTAATCCTTTAATTATTGCCGTCATGCTTGAAATTAAGTCACTTTAATGAAAACTTGAACTTATTTTCTATCACCTACTCCTGAAGTCAGAGACCTCAAAACATTAACTGTTGGTTATTACGCATAACTTAAAGAACAACTATTTTAATTTTGGCCTAAAAGTTTCCAAATAAAGAAAAACCTTAGAAGATTTTTTGTGATCAAATGAATAACATTTCTTCAACAGAAATACATTTTTTAAGAAAAAAAGGTTGAAAAAAAACCCTCTTAAAAATATTTGATACAGTACGCTGTTATTCCTATATTCCTATTCATAAAAAAAAAAAATAAAAAAGATTCTTAAGCCAGCATTTTTTTTTATTTAAATTCACATTTTAGAATCTATATTTGTTGAACCAAAGTAAGTAACAGCCACCGTTAAAAGAGCCACATGTGGCTTCAGAGCTATGGTTTACCAAAACTACTCTAAGGCGATTATCTCTTCAATAAACCAGATCCATAAGATGGAGGTTTTTCTACCTCATATTTCATAGTGAAATGGTTAAAATGAGGATAAAAACCACAGCTAATTTAAGTCATATGAAATGTTATGTAAAACTGTGCATCAGATCTGACCATTTTGTGATCTTCTCCATAATTCCTGAAAATTGAATACCGTAATAGCCAGCAGTTTCCATTTAAGGAAACGTCAAACAGGTAAATAAATGGAAGTAGAGGGGATGATATGAGACAGACCTGAAAATACCAGCACATTTAATCATTTATCAAACCTTACTGTGATTCTTTGCAGGTCGAACAACTAAAAAATGGTCCCAAATGTTTAATTTTAATTTTTTTAAGATTTTCACAAAATAATGCAAGAATATTAAAGAGCACCAAATAAAAAAAAACACATTTATGATGTATTTTCTTTTTTATACATACCTCTTGCTTAGACTTAAACAGTAAGAGAGATTTGGTTTTTCCAAAACACTCCATGGAGGCAATCACATCACCGTGAGAGAGAGAATCAAAATTCCCCTTGAGTCTCAACATGGTTGGAGGGGATGGTTTACCCAAATAAGAAAACTGAGGCTGGGGAAAACAAAACAAGCTACTTTTAAAAAGAACTGCAATTGATCAAAGTTGTTGGATCAGCAGGGTTTAGAAGCTGATATCTTTAAGAGTTTTTCCCTCTTTCATTGCTGAGCAAAGCATGCAGAATTAGCAATAGATACATAATGAAAAAATAACTGTTAACCAGAATTAAATGACTCTCATCAGGGTTTGCATCGACTCAAAATTAAAAATGCAAGTCAATCAAGTGATCTTCACACTGAAACGGTCAACCACCAATGGGACCAACAGGATTAAAAGAAGAAACTGGTTACTGTTGGTTCATAGGCAGAGAGATAGAAGAAAATGAAACATTCTAGAACTCAGAGTAGGAACTGTAAAGTCGTAGGGAAACAGCTGTTCCAACGGTTGCATTTCCGAATTCTCCCGAGTGGTGCACGACTTTACACGAGTGAATAAAATGAATGTTTTTGGTCGTTTATCAAGGGGGAAGGATTGTTTTGGTGGAAGGTTCACAAGCAAGTTTGGTTTGTCGGAAGCATCTTGCTAACCAGTTAGCAACTTATTGCTAGCAGGTTCCAAATGGGAAATTATGTTGGGACAAAGTAGCACCAAATTGGTGACTTAGACACAACACTGTCAAGGAATGCTATGGACAGTGGAAACATGCAAGAGGAGGAGAGTTTTGTGTCGGAGGTCATGGATGAGTCTCCTCCTACATACATTTTTTATTTAGAGGAGGAAAGTGGGGACGATGATGTTGTGGAAGAGGACACCAGGGAGGCAGAAGCTTGGTTTGGTGTAGAAGGATTCCAGCCGTACATGTTTGAGCACTTGCCTCA